TTGTGTGATCAATTTATTGCTATGAACGAGTCAGGGAGTGATGGGAAGGTAAATTTGTAATTCTTATTAATTAATATCATTATATGATTTGTGCATTGCATCAAAATATAGTAACTTATGTGTTATTATTATTAGTCCAAATCTCAAAAATGTCGCGAAGCACGAAAGTCAATTGCAACCGAACACCATTGGGGTCAAACTAGTATCACCGGTTGGTCTCACAAACATGTAAGTGATCTTGTATATGTGTGATTGTATATATTTTAAGATTTATTATAAGGGTGTAATTACTTTTATATTATTTATACAGGTTCAGAAATTTGGCAAGGTTCCTACTGTGGCAGCTAAATTCAGAAAAGGCTACATGAGCATCGATGCATTAAAGGAATCGGAGCCTTTACCTGTTGATGGTAGTGATAGTGAGATTGGTGGGGGTGATGGTGAGCGACAAGTAGATCAGAGAGGAAAGCCCGAACTACGTGCCATTGCGGTAAGTTATTATTTTAGTTGTATCGATGCTTTATTTGCTATTTTGAACATGTTTGGGTTGTACTGTAGTTGATGGATTATGGATTTATTTCGTACTTAGGTATCGATGAATTGTGTAATGTAGTTGATGGATCTTTACGTGAATTGAGCAATTGTGTATATTGGGTTCTCTAATGAAGTTGATGCTTATTTTTGTTGAATTGTTATTTTATTTCCTAGTTGAGCATATGTTGGTTGTTTAATGTAGTTGGTCGATCTTTATATATGAAATCTTGTATTTTTGTTTACTTGAACATATTTGGGTTGAGCAATGTAGTTGGTATATTTATATATGTTGGTTGTTTATGGTGGTTGTTTAATGTAGTTGGTCGATCTTTATGTATGAATTATTGTGTTTTTGTTTACTTGAACATCTTTGGGTTGAGCAATGTAGTTGGTGTATTTATATATGTTGGTTGTTTAATGTAGTTGGTCGATCTTTATATATGAATTATTGTGTTTTTGTTTACTTGAAAATGTTTGGGTTGAGCAATTTAGTTGGTATATTTTTATTTGAATTATTATTTTATTTTATACTTCGTATCAAGTAATTAGTGTTAATACACTTTTTTATATTACTCAGGCGGATTTGGACAGAGTCTATCAAGAATGTATGAATGATGGAAGTGATGAAAGCACCGCTTTACACGATAGCTTGCGAAACGAGTACTAAAAAAAACTAAAAGACTAGGACTTGGTTGCTCAAGTTCAAAGAAAGGGGCGAGGTCCAACTTATCTTCTGTTGCTAGAGATGAAGAAATAGCGGCTTTGAAAGAAGACAATCAGACTTTAAAGGACGAGATGAATCAAATGCAGAGTACTATGAAAGCCATGGTCGAATATGGGCTCAAGGTGTCGAGTTCCATCCCCAGAATTGATGGACTGCACATACAAAACCAATAAGTAAGTAAAAAAACGATTGTTTAAATTATGATTGTTGTGTTTTAATGTATTGTATTGTTTAAATATGTAAAAACAACATTGTTGTAGCCTGTAGGTATGGAATGCCTCTTATAGAAATAATTGGGATAACTCCAGTTGGGAGGAATTTTACCATTGCTGTTGCATTTATGTCGCATGAAGATGCAGACACCTAGGAATGGACTTTGAATTGTTTGAGAGAGTTGCTAGATGGTGTCGAACCTGATGCGATCTTGACTGACAGTGAGTTGGGTTTTTTGAAAGCACTGCCAAATGTCTTCCGAGTTTCGTATCATATGTTGTGTATATTCCATATAAACAGAAATGTTGAGGCAAATGCGACGAAATTTATGGGAGGCAACAAAGACCGAGGCCTAATATTCCGACGTGTGCTGTGGGCTAAGCTGGAGAAATTAGAAACCAAAGAAGAGTAGCATTACAATTACAATGAAATTGTTGGACGGTATGCAGGATATCCTAGATTGATACAATATTTAAATGATACTTGGTTGATATACAAGGAGATGTTTGTTCGAGCCTATACTCGCAATGTGTATCATTTTAGCAACACGAGCATCAACAGGTATTACATGTTTTAGTTATTTAAATGATAAAATATATTATATAAAAATAATAATTATTTTGTAATTTGATAGTCATTGTCTATTTTGATTGTTGTTGTAATCGGATTGGGTGAAGAGTGCTCATTCTTTTGCGAAAGGTTGGCTAAATGCTTCGGCCGGAGGTCTGGATAACGTGCAAGGCAAACTACGGGACCAAGTTTATATCCAAATTAGTCAGCTGAAGTGCGATTTTTCATTATCATCCAAGATAAGGAAGCATATTGCATCATGGCCGTGTTTTCAGGGTTTGATTTGTTGTTACTAGGGGTGTAAACGAGCCGAGCCGACTCGTGAGCTCGAAGAGCCGGCTCGTAAAAAGCTCGAACTCGGACTCGAGATTTTCGAGCTCGAGCTCGAGCTCGCGAGCTCGAGCTTTCTGACGAGCCGAGCTCGAGCTTTCTGACGAGCCGAGCTCGAGCCGGTTTTCAGTTATTCATGAGCTCGCGAGCCGGCTCGCGACCCGGATTTATTATTATTTTTTTATTTTTATATGTTATTTTTATTTAAATAATGTATAATAATGTAAAATATTATAGAAATAAATACAAATATTAAAAATATATATAATTACAATTTAGTTTTTATTTTTTATTTTTTTAAATATTTTTTAATAATAAAATAATAATTAAAAAAATATTTAAAAAAAAAAAAAGACAATCGGCTCGAGCTTGAGCTCGAGCTCGAGCTCGACAAAATTGACACGAGCTCGAGCTCGAGCCAAAAAAAGAGGAGCTCGACGAGCTCGAGCTCGAGCTCGACAAAATAACTCGAGCTCGAGCTCGAGCCAGCCAAAAGAGGCGAGCTCGGCTCGTTTACACCCCTAGTTGTTACGCATCTGGCATTAGAGAAATTGGATCAAGAGATGGAGTCCCCGGTGATGCAAGATCCGAGTATTTTCACACACTATCTTTGGAATACTCATGAGCTCCCTTGCGCGCGCAAAATTGTGCAAAAAATGGAAGATAATGACATGTTCGTCATTTCAGACTTGCATCCATTCTGGAGTACCATGGCAGTTGAGCCTTCGGAGCTACCTGAGTATCAAGTAAACCGCCGAGGTGATTGTGGATAGACAGATTGATGACCTGAATTGCAATTTGAAGAAGATGAATTACACGAGTAAGGTAAATATCGTGGCCTCATTGCGTGGCATCGTTTATCCATCTACGTCGCATTTGTCCGAGCCATCATTTGTTAAGACCAAAGGACTACCAAAGAATAACTCGACAAAGAGAGACCCTTTCGGATGGCAGTATCATATTGATGATGAGACAATTAAGTCGTCTTGTGGTTCCAAGGGTCGCCAAACCTCATCTAGTGCAAAGATTCCTAAGCAAAGGTTGAGAGAAGCACTGATGGAACGCCTCAATCAAAGATGAAATGTGTGGTTCTCGCACTCCCACATAAGAATCTGTTGCCCCTACAATACATGCACATGAAGGTATCGTCTTTTATTCTTTCGTGCCCAGATTTATGGTCCGTCTCATTCAAGATTATGTTAATGTGATGGCGGATGGCAACTGTGGGTACCGGTGCGCTGCTCAAGCTGTGTATGGGGATCAAGAAAGATGGCCGCAAGTGAAAAGGGAGTTGTTTATTGAGTTATACGAGCATGCTAATGTGTACACGGTGATGTTTGGCAGTACTGAATATGTTGAGGTCATACGCAAGTGTGACTGGACCTGAGGGCCTTGTCTACAAGCTTATTGGATGGACATGAATGAAATGGGATTGGTCATTGCTACCAAATACGGTGCATTAGTGATGATTTTGACCCAAGTAAGGAGTATGACTTACCTTCCTATGTTTAGCAGTGGTCACTTATCATGTATGATTGTTGTGACATTGCATCACCTATCCATCCGGCATGGGTACATCATAGAGCTAAAAACCCGAGGCACTTACTCAAAATGTTCAAACCCCAACTACTCTTGTACGAACAATTAAAGTCTGGTTGGTAGTTCAATTTGTAGCTGTATTTGAATTTTAGATCAATTTGTAGTTGTATTTCAATTTTAGTTCAATTTGTATTTGTATTAGAATTTTTAGGTCAATTTGTTTTTTTTTTTTTACTTGAGTTTAAGAATATATATGTTAATGTATTTTATTTATTTGAGTGTCTGAAATAAATTGGTTAAATTAAAAAAAAAAACAAATCAATTAGTGATTTCGTACTAACTTTTACGAAATATTACCTTATATTTCGTGGAAAAATCCAAGAATTATAAGCTGTAATTTCGTGGAAAACTTCACGAAATATGATGGGTAATTTCGTGTTTTATGTCACGAAAGAGTAGAATGTCTTCAATCCAACAGTTTTGTCCTTCATGTTCTATAATAATAAACACGTACATTTCGTGTAAAAATACACGAAATTTTTGAGTGAATTTCGTAATATAACCAAGGTTGTAAAAAGCGGTAATCGGGTACGAGTCGGTCAGGCACCGACTCACGATTAATCGGTGCGGCGGTGATTAATCGGTGATAAATCAGAAATAAATCGGTTTTTAAAATTAAATATAATATATTTGTGGATATTATTTATAAATACTCAAAACATAAATAAAAAATATTTAAACATAATTATATCTCCATCATGTATATATTCAAATAACATAATAAAAGTTTAATAATAATAAGATCATAATACATAAATATCCTTAATAAATATAAAAAAAGGACATTTTTTTTGAATTTACATACATTCTTGGCATATATCATTAGTTCTTTAACAATAATAATTAACATAAACAAAATAAAGTATAAACTCATTTTTTTTTATTAAAATCCCAACTTTTATTTTGATTTATAAAAATAAAAAAAAATAAAAAACCAATTTTTGACCGACTTTTTGCCACCGAAGTTTGAACCGCCTTAAAGGTTTGACCGCCTCGGACCACCTCAGACCGCCTCACACCGCCTCACACCGCCTAAACCGCCTCACAGGCAAAAAACCGATTTTTCAAACCTTTACACTAAAATCGTAAAGGTTTTGGACCGCCTCCGCCTTGGCGACCGATTAATCGGCCGCCTCGGCCGATTTTTAGAACACTGAATATAACACACGAAATAACGGGTGAATTTGAGTTTTTTTAAGAAAAATTACAAATGAAATAAATTGCACTGCAAGGTGATAAAAATTACACTATAAATAACATTTTAGTATTTATAATTTCCACATCATACTTCTATCCAAACTAACAGCATAAACTAACGGTGGCACGAAAATTATAGAAAAATGGCATCATTGAAATGACTGGTGTAACTCGAAAATGTTTAAAGACAGTATCGAAAAAATGGTTAAAGTTTGAGGACGAAAAATGTAATTTGCCCACTTAGTTACAACATATAGCCTCGCTAATCCACGATCAGCAGTCACCACCCGCCACCGCCACCGCCACAGCCACAGCCACAGCCACAACTACCTGCTTTTCCCAATTCCCTGCCGATGACGACCCAAAAGAGCCCATCCTCTCTATCTCCCTGTAGCCGCCGCCGCCTATTTTGCCTATCAGAACTGGGAAACGGTGCCCTATTTATCGCTGAGATTATTGCCTTCTCCTTAGCCGAATAAATGGGTAGTTTTGAACAATATTCTCAAAATGCGGTCTCCAATACTCAACGTGAAACACACTCTCTTCATGTGTAAGGTAGAAAAAAATGGTACTTTTGGTTTAAAATTTACCAAAAGTTGTGATGCCCTAGGGGATGTTTTTTTATTTATGATATTGCTATTTTAAGCGCTTGTTAATTGATGGTGTCACGGTGTGAGTGAATTCACTTGAAAATTACTGAATATAATAATGAGGCAGCCGATACTGAATTTGGCCACATAATTCTGCAAAGAGAACTTAGCTAATCCAGCCATCTACACAAATATTAGCTATGTGTAGAAATCATTGATGGCTTTAATTTCGTATTTGCAGCCTTGCACTTCAGGTAATTTATACTTATCAATTTGTTGGATATACTGTTGGAACTTGGCTTGTTTAACTTTGCTGAGTTTTTCCTTATTTTCTTTCCCGTAGATAAATTGACAAATCAATCACCAGGAACTCATGGCATTCACTTGAGAGATACTTTTCGATCAACGCGGGATCCTCTTGCACCTACAATGGTAATACTTCTAAATTAAATTTTATTATTCAATGATAGCGTCTTAATAATTATATGGAAATTTGAGTGATTCTCAAATATTCTGGTGTTGATTTTCTTTCTTTTATTCCTGGGAAAACTGGATATATAATTTTCTAACTGATAAGGACGATTTTTTCTCCTGGACATATTGAAATGTTCATGATTCCCCGGTTATTGGCTTTTGTATAAAGTTTATCAGGAGTTTCTTCAGTACTTCTATACAAATTTTTGCAGTTTGCAGTATTGTCGGCTTCCATGAGAATTTTCACCAAGCCTCATAGAATTCATTAGTAAAAGTACACGTGGCAGATTGCATTTTCCATTTTTTACCTTCTCGACTTTCTTCTTGATCTTTTTTTTTTGCTCGAATTTATTCTTAAAGGAGTATGTGGAATCTTCAATTTGTTTGTCAATTTCTGAAGATTTACCTTAAAGAGAGGAGAAATTAACAGATACTTCGGACTAGACAATATTCCTTCCCCTTGTCGTGTCGTTTTTCACTTATATCAAATGATGTTAGGGAAGATGCCAGTTGGATAAGTTTAATTGCGATATGACGACTTCAAGTTAGGAGTTCGAATTTGGAGGGGGGAATTAGAAAAATAGTACAAAGATAGATTGCTAAAGAGGATCGAAAGACCTAATGTTATGTGTTACATAGAACGTAATTTCTAGGCTAAGAATATCGATGAGAAGCACAACATATTTAGAACCTTTACTTGATATGAAGGATGTTATAATCGCAGGGGTACAAAACATAAATTTTTTCGTTGTGGTTGTAAGATTTGAATACGTTTCACACTTGTTGGTAGCAGTGCCCTATATTTGAAATTAATTTATAGGTAATATGTTATAACAGTTTAACCATATGGACTATTTTGGAAAGAAATCCGAAGGCCATTATGACATAGAGTGTCATTCTTACAAAGAAGGAAAAAATAAAATGGGAGTAAATAAAAGCATTAAATATTGACAAACTGTCAACAAAGTGGCTGTAGTTTAGCGGTAAGAATTCCACGTTGTGGCCGTGGAGACCTGGGCTCGAATCCCAGCAGCCACAAATTATATATTTTTGTGAATTCTCAGTTAATGCAATAAAGTTCTTTTGGCCCAAAATTTTTTTTTTTTATTGGAATCCAACACTCGATTATGCACTGTGTAATACCTTCACATTAATTATATATGTATGATCCCCGAAGGCAAAATCGCACCCCTGGATTTCACTTACCATAGTGACAGGTTTGAATTGTCACGAATGGTATCTCTCTCTCTCTCTCTCTCTCTCTCTCTCTCTCTCTCTCTCTCTCTCTCTCTCATTAAATAGCATTCTTCCAAATATTGCAACAACTTTTGTTTGACAGATAGGCGTTTCACCAAACAAGCCTACTCACCGGATAAACTTTATTTTTTAAAATTTGCAAGTAGACAAAGTCTCGGTTTTTAGGGCCTGCTGCATGCCTCCCATCTTGCACAAAAAGTACAAGTCTTGATTTGTGTGTCCCGCATAAAGCAAGGACGCTTTACTTTTTATTCATTTTCATTTTGCAAAGATCCGTTTTCTTGAATTTTAGGCTTCTAGAAGAGAATGGCTGCCGCAAACTCTCAAGAGAGAAACACGAGCAATGCTGATTCGCCAGGTTCAAATATGGTGGGGACATTGAAACAATTACTTGTTAGGTACGGAACTCAGCTTCTTAAACCGTGTGATTCTACAGAAGAGCTTCTGGAATTACTTCATGTAAGCTTCATCCTCGATTTTCAAATCAAAAAGTCAATTTTCCTCACACATGCTTTTATGTTGTCGCAGAGTAATTTTCTCTGCATGCTTGATTCTGCCTGTAAATCTGGCTGTTGATTTGTGTTTTCGTAACTTAAAAGCATTTTTTCGTTTATAGGACTACGATGTTTTCTTGGATCGACCAAGTTTTGATCTTTGAATTTTTTTTTGGGCTCTCAGAATTTACATCGTGTTTTAATACACACACTTCATGATCACAAGGACCGGGTACAATTGGCACTTCAATCATCAAAAGAAGCGCTAATTGCCAATGAACTTATAAGACATGCTGAAAGGGATGTAAGAATATCAGTGACCTTATGTATATCTGAGATCGTAAGAATAACTGCACCTGATGAACCATACGAGGAAGACCAGATGAAGGTAACTCTAAATATGTTTAGATGGCAATCTTTTTTTTTTTTTTTTTAAATTATTTTATTTTGGGTAAATTACAACCACCCCTGAGGTATGGTCAAATTACGAAAACCCCCCTCCTGTTTGGGTAATTACAACCATCCCCATCAACTATAAATACTCTTACACGTCCACCCTTGCGGTTTCAAATTTAGTAGAACCTTTTAGATTATATGGAATATTCTCAATTTTGTACCCGTTTTATCCCATTCGAGCTCCACATTTTGAAGCTAGATGATCATAAGATGCGCTTTTTGGCTTGTAAATATTAGATTGTGGTGCATCAGAAACCGTATTTTTGCACAAAGCGAGTACAAACTAGAGAACATTCCATGGAATCTAGATGATTGTGTTGCATTTGATACCATAAGGGTGGAGATGTAAGAAGATATATAGTTGAGGGTAGATGTAATTATCCAAAGATGAGGGTTTTTTTTTGTCATTTGACCATACTTCAGGGGAGTGGTTGTAATTTACCCTTTTATTTAAATAATGATGCATAAAGTTTTGTCATTTTATTTTGTGCAGGAGTATTTTGGGCTTCTTAATACTGCCCTTGAGAACTTGTCTTTCATGTCTGGCGGAGCCTATTTAAAAGCTGTGTCGATCATCAGGTCTATTTCATTATGTCAGGCATGCGTGCTGATGTTGGATCATCAGTTGTACGCCAGTATCCGTCAAATGTTTCACCTGTTCTTCAATGTCATAAGGTTAGAGATCCATCAATTTTGCATTCCGTTTTCCTCTACTTCTACATGCTTTTGCACAATATATATATATATATATATATATATATATATATATATATATATATATATATATATATATATATATATATATATATATATATATATATATATATATATATATATATATATATATATATATATATATATATATATATATATATATATATATATATATATATATATATATATATATATAGATAGATATATATATTTTGATTATAGTTGATTTTTAACCTAATCGTTGTGATCTTCGCATTTTCTCTAACACGTGAGTAAATTTGTTCTCGATATGAAGGTTTTCTGATGTGCGCTATGCTCTTATAATTTATGCTTACCATGAAAATTGTCGTTGGCTGGCAAATTATAGGTTAGTCATAGTACAATATGATAGGATGCACATACTTTCAGACATCATACATACTTTGTCAAAACTGCCAGTGTTTCGTTTATGCACTTCATATGCCACAGACAATCTTTGTAATAAGGTCTCCCGTATCAACGTTTGTCAGAAATAGTTTATTCCTCACTCGAATCTTATAGAAAACTACTTTATGTAAATGGTAAGGTGAAATCGTGTTATGTTGATTGCTTCTATGGTTATTTAACTACATATATTTTATTCTTGCCAACTTTAGAGCCAACCACCATCCGGCTATATTCTCAAACATGGTGAATATCATGGCGGGGATAGTTCGTGCCAATGATGACAATGATGAATTTTCCGTGAAACTTGCAAAAATCCTTCTTGCTAGGTTAAAGAAGGAAAATCAAGTAACTTCTCCTATTTTTTTCAGTTCTTTTTTTCTATAACGTTCGTGCCACATCACACTGATTTTTGGTCTTACTAAAGCATTATTTTTTTTTCTACTTCAGAATGTTACACCAGCTTCATTCCAGCTGGCGGAGGACACATTTAAGAATTGCTCCAATGCACTCAGGGAGCATCTTCCTAAAGCTGCAAAAAGTTTGGGAATTCCCGTCGAGGATTATGCTGAAGTAGTTGCATCGTTATTACAGGGTGCAACTCAAGGGGAAAAAAACCATGGTGTGTTTTTCAACAAAAGAAAAAAAAATAAAGCTAGAATAAAAAGATGCATTACGTGTTTTGGTTAGGTTGGAGATAATGTATTTGTTGCTACGGTTGTGTTTGGTATAATTTTAAAGTTGCATTTGGATGGAAGGGTTTGAGCAAACGAGTTTTAAAAATTTAAAATAACAAATTCATGCGTTTGTTTGGATTGATTTATTTGACAATGGATTTTAAAACCCTTAGTTCTCATTTTAAGCTATTTTTTGAGTCGTTACGTCGAATTTCAAATCCTTCTGTTTGAGTCATTTTAAATCCATTCCTCTCGAATCAATTTAATCCATATGTTCAATTACTTTATATATCTTTCTACCTTGGCTTGAACCACGTAACGTTAAAACCTTTGGTGTTTTTTTCATGCATATTTGATATTAGATTCGATCACCAGAATTAAGATTATATACGACACATTAAATGCTAATGTTTAAGGTAGAGGAAATAACTAAAGTACATTTCTCCAATCTAATGCGCATATCAGTTTTATGTCTAAGATATTTATTTTTTCATACTAAGCCTTTCGTTGAGTTGCTTTAATTGAACCTGTCAGAAATTTAGTGCACGTTTTGCATGAGCTTCTAGAATAAAAGTCCATTTTTCAATTGTACTTCTTATTAAGTTTTCTTTATTAAGTTCAGTGATTATATTACGAGATGTTTGGTGAAATATACTTTAAAGGAACTATAAATCCATTAAGTTTTGGAAATGGATTTCAGAAGTAACAATGTCTTACGTATTGAGAGTGAACTTTCCGGAAGTGATTTATCCCGAATGACTTAATTTGTTTCGAGACAGCCAATGTGATGAGTTAATATTGTTGCTTCCAATTATATTGACTTCAGTTTTTTTTGTTTATTTTCCAGGACGTTGAACATATAGCAGTAAATGCCACGTGTCAGGTGGAAGGTGGTTTAGCAGTAACCCCACCTGGCTTAACGGTAAGCGATGATGTTCTTATTCGGAAAAAAAGGAGTCGGAAACCGAACTCCTTACTTAAACCAGAGGAGGGCTACGATCCTTTGTGGACGTTGCAAGGGTCTCGGACGAGGGAAGCTCCCGCAAAGAAAGGCAAGAGAAAGACTATTCTTTCTGAAGACCCAATCGATACCATCCTTAACAAGGTAATAAGTGAATTGTGTAGATCTCTTGCAATTAATTGAACGCCAGATGGCGACTTTTCTCGACTTTTAGTCGTTAACTGTTAGATAACTCTCTTGCATAATGCAGAGATTGCCTTCTCAATCCACATCTACATCATCGAAAGGGGAAGCCTTATCTGGGGAAGTCTCTAACTTCCAAAATACGAAGAAGAGTACCGTGTCTGACGACAAGGTCTGGCCTTGTTATCCGTCTTACCTTTGTAATTGTGAATGTTACACTATTATTCTTGTGGTGCCGTCTTTTGAAAGAGTTTTAATTTCTCTGTTCATTTTCTTTTCGATTTCCTTTTCAGTTGGACTTAGTTTTACCTTGGTTAATCTTTTTACTGCGTTAAATTGCCAAATATAACCAGTGCCGATTCCAGGAACTGACTCCAGGGTGGGCTTAAATTTTCGGGGGTTCGGGGGAAGAGCCCTCAAAAAAAAAAAAAATTGGACCTTTTTTTTTTTGATAAATTAGGAAGAGAAAAAAATTAGGTTTTTTTTTTCTTTTTTTTTTTTTTTTTTTTTTTTTTTTTTTTTTTTTTTTGCGTAATTTGAGTTTTGGATGAGCTAAATAATAAAAATTGAGTTGGCTAAATAATAATATATATGTATAATATGCTAGAATAATTTTTAATTGAGGCGGGGCTTGAGTCCACCCTAGCTGGACTTGCCCCTGAAAATAACTAAAATGTTGCAAATTATTTTGGCATTCCCATAAATTCACACCAAATCTTTTAGTATTGGCAACCTTTGTATTGAATTGTCTTGTATATAATCACACCTCCGGAAATAAAGTGCGCAACCAGGTTTACGCATATCTGTTCTATGCTATGTGCAAGCATACATTGCTAACCTTCTACAATGTCGTGGTAAGTTTAAACTGTTCTCGGTACAAATTTAGGGAAAGAAGTAATTTCGAAAATGCCAAAAGAGAATACGCAGTCCCTCTATAAAGGGAATTATGTTCTTAGTTCTTTGATAACGTTTTTCTTTTCAAATATGGGGTATATTTCGATATTTACACGTGTCAAAAGGAATTATGCTTATGGCATCTATTAAGGGAAGTTCAAATAAATGAAATCCGCCATGCAGAATAATTCTCCGGGGCTGTGATTCTCTTGTTTGTTTTAAGGCGACATTTTTTTAATGTGTCACATTTTGGATAATTCCCACGCACTAATAATGCATGTTTGTGTATATATTTTATGTGTATTCCATATTTCATTTGTGTATCTATTAAATCATATTAAGCTTTAACTCGTGTTATTTAGGGTTCCGAGGTAAAGGATGCAAGCAATTGTGTTGGTGAAGAGGTGGTTGGCCGCAGGATAAAGGTTTTGTGGCCACTGGATCAGATGTAAGTATTCCCGATTATAACCATCTGATGCAAGGAACTAACTGATACCACACTGACATCACTCTTTTGTAGATCTTACGAAGGCAAAATTACATCTTTCGACAATTCGAATAAAACACACCAGGTAAAATTTCAAACTTCTATATATATGAAGTTTGCTAGCTATAACAACTTTGTTTGATGGATCATTCTTCGTATTCACAAATGCAGTTGCCCTTTATTACTAGCAATAACTGGATCTTTAATTTGAATATGTATATTTTACATTTTCGGATTGCACGTGCGTTGTGAATCAGTTCTTCAAATTCTTATTGTTACTGTACCATTACATCATTTAGGTTGACTACGATGACGGTGACCATGAAAAATTAGACCTTAGTAAGGAATGCTGGCTACTGATAGGTGACAACGGTTTGTCCACTCAGGTCAGAGTTGCATTATTATCAATATTTTTATAATTTTTAGGATTGGTTGAAATATTTAACAGGTCTATTTGTGTTTCCGTATTTAATAGGATCAGAAGATTGATGCAACTCCAGGTTCCTCAGCAGAGATGTAAGCTTTTCTTTGGGCTTTATTATTTCGTGTACACAATCTTCTGTTTATTATCGTAACGGTCTTAATCACATGTTTAGTTCTTCAGTTTAAACTTGTAATCCAGCTACGATATGCTTTGTTCATCATTTAATTTATATCAAAACCGATTTTGGGATGATAGAAAAAAATAATTTTTTATTCTGAAATACAGTCATTGTAACCACATCATTTCTTTAATGTTCTAGTTTTTGTTGTACTTGTTAATCTAATATCCCTAGGGTAAATTACGGTTACCCCCGGGGGTATGTTAAAATTGCGAAAAAACTCTTCCTGTTTGAGTAATTACAACCGCCCCTCAACTATGAATCTTCTTACACGTCCACCCTTATGGTGTCGAATTCGACATAATATTCTAGATTCCGCAAAATATTCTCTAGTTTGTACTCGTTTTGTGCAAAAATGCAGTTTCTGATGCACCACTATTCGATATTTACAAGCCAAGAGACACATCGTATGGCCATCTTGTTTCAAACTGTGGAGCTCAAATGGGATAAAACGGTTACAAACTGGACAATATTCCATATAATTTAGAAGATTCCACTAAATTTGACAATGTAAGGGTGAACGTGTAAGAAGATTCATAGTTTAGGGGTAATTGTAATTAGCCAAACATGAGAGTTTTTTTTTGTAAATTAACCATACCTCAGGGAGGTGGTCGTAATTTACCCAATGTCCCTATGGTAGTATTAAGTTGCCGCTTCGGTTGTGCTTTTTGTATCTTAATCCTCCTTTATTCTGATTTGTTGTGTTATTACGTTGCCCCAAAAGTATGTATGTTGCAATCGTGTTTAATTTAGTGATGCTAAAGCTTAAATTATACTATATTATGCACATGCAGATTGACTGATCATGGAACAAAGTCTTCTCGTATGTCGAAAGGGAAAGAGAAGGTGAGTTCCTATTGTAAATAGTTTGATTGTAAATTCGATAATTCAAATTGTTTGCTTGGCTTTTTTATATGGAACAAGAACAACTGCGATGATATAGAGTTTTCTTGAAAGACCATATTGTCCTTTTGATTTGTAGCCATGTGGCAGAAGTTTTGTTCCTTTGAGTAGAAAAATCATGAACTTGAAAACGAAAATATAGATATAAGTATGGGGAAATTACAGTTTTCATCCTTCAAGTTGTACCGATTTCACATTTAGTCCCTCGTGTTCACAAAAAACACATCTGGTCCCCTATGTTCCAATGATTTAACACTTTTGATCATTTCCGATAATTTACTGTTAGTCCGCTAGTTAAGGCAGTGATGGACACTTGCTTGATTCCGTTAGTTTTAACGGAAATGACTAAAAGTGTTGAATTTTTGAAACATAAGGGACCAAATGTGTTTTTTGTGAACATGGGGACCAAATGTGAAATCGGTGCAAACTTGAGGGATGAAATCGGTGCAAGTCTTTGATGAGACAAAGTATGTATAATTCACAATGGGAAACTAAATTGTGCTTACTGCTATTCGAATAATGTTGTACCATTGTATCAGGTAAATTGGATCTGAGATTCTGGACTGATTCTTTGGCTTTCATGCTAACCTAAAGAAGCAACTCCACACGTTTCGAGTAAAGGTGATTTTAACATATTTTTCTGCTAAAAGAAGTCTCTTTAATCTGAATTGGGTTTCGAGTAAAGGTGATTTTAACATATTTTTCTGCTAAAAGAAGTCTCTTTAATCTGAATTGGGTTTCATTCTGGTATTCTTCTTAATTGGTATGTTTTTATTGCAGGTTTCTGGTGGACGAAAGAGATAATATTTGATGCTGCTATGTTAAGAGCTTAATCGATTTCTTCGTTTGCTAATCGCAATTAGAACTTGTCCGGATTTTCATAAATAGGGGTGGAAACGAATCGGGTCGAACCGAACATATGTTTGAATGTTTATCAAGCTTTCATAGTTGTGTTTACGCTTGGTTCCATAGAGAAATTCAGCCGAGCTCGAACGATCTTTAATCTTACGATAAATTAATCTTTTAATTATTCCTGATACCAAAACCATCAGACTCGATTATATTACCAAATTCATGAGATTTGAGTTGGAATAGAAAGTTTTCGTATTCAAAATGATATAATTTCGTATCAAAAAATAAATTCAATCAATGAATGCCATTCGTATACTCGTGATTCGTTCATTACGCATCATCGATATGCCAGCAAGATGCCTAGTCATGAGATAAACTCGTTTTCGAAATGATCCAATCACATCGTGCCACGTATTTAGAGGGATGCCACTTGTTGTCCACCTAGTGCAAATTGACGTCACGACGCTCTTTCCTTCCTCTATAAAAAACTCTTCATTTCCCCATTGTAGTATCCATTGTTTTCCTTCAACTTCTTTATTTTACAAAGAAATGTTTGTTTCAAGTTCTTAAGAGATAAATTCTGAGGGTACATGAGGTAATTAGCCCTCTCAAAACTGATGGCAAGTCAAATGAAAAAATCAAATGACAACATCACAATGTGGCGATGAACGTGCAAAATTTAGGCAGCGCAAAATTTTGCAGGACGTTGAACGTATTAGAGTAGATGCCACGTGTCAGGTGGAAGGTGGTTTAGCAGTAACTCCACCTGGCTTAACAGTAAGCGATGTTTTATCTAATGAAAAGAAAACGACAACATCGGATGATTTTCCTATTCGGAAGAAAAAGGAGTCCGAAACCGAACTCCTTACTGAAACCAGAGGAGGGCTAAGATCCTTTGTGGATATTGTTGGCTGAATCGCGAAACAATATCTGAAAAGCAATGATCCTCGATCGAGATATCTCCTGAAGATAAAAGTAGAGACAAGACTATTGTTTTTGAGGAACTTAAAGAAGATCAATTTATGGAATCATG